CCTGCTCCCTGTGTTAGGAAGGAGGTACCTGGAAATCCGATCCACACCTCAACCCGCCCCCAAACCAGAGCAGCCTAGATCCTCTAATCCACTTATCCAGACACATCTACTATCGGCTGCTAATTCGGCAAGTCACCGGATCCTACATATGCTGCATACATGAACACCCGCTGTTCAATATAGTGTCAGTTGGATACTCCCCACATATCCTTGGCTTCTTGCTCACGCATTCTATTCACCAGCTTTTGTGATAATGACGTGACCAACCCAGCACATTCCTTTTGCGGCAGGTGTTGCCTAGATCCAGCGACACCTTGGGTAATCCTCTCCCGATACATCTATTTTTACTCTTCCTGCAATGTACATGTCGCGAAAGTTCTGCAGTTGCGGAAAACAATCTCCCCTAAAAGAGCTACCTGGCAACTAGCAGCTAATTATTAAGCAACCCATGCCACTGCGGCACGGCCCTATAGCATTCGCCGTATAAACATCAGCTCTGCAAGACATGCATGATGCCAACCTTGTGCAAAACACCCACAGGTGTGTAGCGCCGAAATGTGTGGATCTCTAGTATTGCACAATTTCTAGAGAGTGTGGCGATGTCGTCAAGCTGTACTAGCGCTTCCCACGAGCTCCCTCCCTGCTCGCTGGCTCACAAGCTTATAAGGCAAGCTTCTCTCCCTCCTCAACCTTGTTTTTTTCACTACATTCCCAATCAACAGTCCATATTTTAATTCTTCGTCATTAATATGTCCCTCAACAAGTACGAGCCTGTGGCATCATCCAGCCGCACCAAGAGCCTCTCTGTGCTTGTTCTTGGCCTTGTGACAATCGGCGGACTCGCATCCCTTACCCAGTGCTCTGCACACCCTACTTCCCAGCCCAAGCAAGTGCGTTTTATGCGTCGGGCAACCGGCACCGAAGCGACGGTCGTGAATCTCCTGAACGCTGGGTTCAACGAATCCAACACAGTGGCATGGGACCGGCTGGCCGAAATGACCGACCTGTACGGCAACCGCATGACCGGCAGCAAGGCCTACGACAAGAGCGCCGAGTGGGTGGTCAAGACGGTCAAGAAGCACGACAAGGACTTTTCGGTCTGGACCGAGCCCGTGTGGGTCAACCGGTGGGAGCGCGGCAGCGAGTCCCTGCGCTTGTATGTGCCAACGCGGCCCAACGGCTCCGTTGACATTCCGGTGCTGGCCCTGGGCAGTTCCGTGTCGACACCCAAGAAGGGCATCACGGCCAACGTCATCCCGGTGCGCTCATTTGAGGAGCTAGCGAAGCTGGGCAAAAAGGCAATTTCGGGCAACATCGTGCTGTACAACTTCCACTTCACAAATTACGGCGAGGTAGTCAAGTTCCGGAGCCGTGGCGCCCAGGAGGCAGCCAAATACGGGGCGCTGGCGGCGCTGGTGCGCACGGCCACGCCAGACTCGTCAGTGGCGTCGGTGCACCACTGGCAACTCGGCGCGCACGACCATCCCGGCTGCGTCGATTTCACCGGCGGATGCCAATCTGATCGAGGCGCCTGTACAAGGCGCGGAGGCGGGCGAGTCCGGCTTTGTCCACCCGAAGGTCAATCTGGCACTGCAGAACACATTTAAGGAGAACGCAACCCAGTCGGCCAACATCATCTTTGATCTGAAGGGCAGTGAGCGCCCCGATGAGATTGTGCTGCTATCGGGCCACTTTGACTCGTGGGATGTCGGTGTTGGCGCCATGGACGATGCGGCTGGTGCGTTTTTGGCGTGGGAAGCCGCGCGCCTGATTGCCAAGGAGGGCCGGCGGCCGAAGCGCACTGTGCGCGTGGTTATGTGAACAACGAGGAGACACTGCAGCGCGGCCGCCCAGGCGTATTTCGTCCAGCACAAGAACGAGATTGCCAAGCACAAGTTTGCTATTGAGAGCGACATCGGTGTGTTTGAGCCCTGGGGCATGGACGTCCAGGCCGACCAGAAGGTGATTGACACGCTGGTTGGGTATGGCAAGGACTATGTGAAAGTGCTAGGCGCCGGCAACATCACCAAGGCGGAGGAGCTGCCGGCTGAGGACATTGCGGTTCTGTGCGAGGCTGGTGTCCCCTGCGGCGGGTGGTTGAGTGTCAATCCCGAGGGCAACTTGGCGCCCGACCACCCGAACTGGGGCGACCACTACTTCCGCCACCACCACGCCAAACAGCGATCGCGTCGAGGTCATTGATGCTGGCCAGCTCAGACGCAGTGCTGCGGCACTGGCAGCCTGGGCGTATCTAATTGCTGATGCGGAGTAACTATTTTTTAAACAACCTTGGCTTCCTCCATATCGTGAACAATCAACCCAGCACTTACTACATGTCCTCAATAGCATACCTTTATATGCATCCTATAGTGTTGCATTCTCGCCATCCTTTTTGGCGTGTCACTAGTCTTGCTTGACCAACTGGATATCAGCCCAACTAAAAATAGATACTATGCTGGCTGATATCCAAACCATCAGCGTTGTCGGGTGAACTGGACAAAGCCAGCAGCCTGTAGGGATGAGTCCCACCACCACCAACCTTACTGAAAACCAACTGCAGATCCCGCATGCCTTTCTACAGCTTTTTACTCTTGCGACATCAACGCATACTGCATGAAAAGGACCGCATTCCAGACCAATTACAAATTACTATGAACTTACATAAGCCTTCCACTTCAAAAAAAGACATGTCCAAAAGGCCCATCAGCTTAGAGCAAAACCTGCCCACTGCAGCTTTCTGCTGCAAATCCCCCGCATATCGATGCAGCATAACTTTGAGGGCTGATGCTGTAAGCCGAAAGCATAACAAATCCTGCACGAATTTATTTTTGCATCAGAGCAAGTTCTATTTTTAGCTCACTCGCTTGAAGAAATGAAAACCAGACGAAAGTTTGGTTTCTGGCGGGGCATATCATTGCGACAAAGATAACTAAGGTGCTTCTTTCTGTGAAGGATATGCTGCAATTTGTGACCTGTGCATATATATAACTGCAGGCTAGCGCTGCAGCAGCATGCACCGAAATAGCTTCATTATTCCCCTCTCCCCCTTCTTTCATCCTCTCAAAAAAAAAAAGTATCCTAAATATACTTGCTGTGTACCAAAAACTCTCCCACCGCACCCCACCTTCTACATCACCCTCAAATTTCGTACCACAATAAGCCATGTCTACCCCCACTACTCCCAACTTCGAGTACGTCCAAGGATTAATCGCTGAATGGAAACAGACCCCCAATTCACAGGTCAAGTCCAATATGGAGGACGAAATAGAGCGCGGATTCGAATCTCTCATAGCAAGCACCATTGAAACAAGGGAGCGTCTCCGGCGAGAGCTTGAGGAAGAGCGCCAGCTTAATGCTCAGCTTCATAGAGAGCTTGACAGCAGAAATATGTGAATAGCCAACAAAACAAAATAAATAGCCTAGCACTGTATGATTCTTTCAAACTAAATACATGGATATGTTCTGAGATGCGACTTTTGCAAGTCAAGCGACCACACCACTGGAGACCCGAATCTTATAGAAATCACATACTGGCATGCATCTAACGAGTTCAGTAACTCGACTTATTTGTGGCCTCCATAGCTCAGTGTCAATATGTATTGCCTGTTCTCCGAGCGATATAATAATTACTTGATCAGCCTTTATATGTAAATGTGATGGAAAAATGCACATAGCGAGTAATCAACTGCATATGTGCACAGAAATAAGGTAAATATGCCGTCATGAGTGAGTGGGTATATCATAATTTATTTGACATGGGCTGGGGTGAAGAAACATGCGGATGGCAGCCTGGAGAATGCATGCCCTTTTGAATGCACGTGCTGCGTGCTTTTGGTGGCTGCCGAAACTAGGTTTCGGGAGGAGAAGGAGCCGGCAGATCGGGTCGGTATGTGTGGTATGTACATGTGCGATGCAGAGGCGGTGGATGCGATGGTTAGCACCCACGGCCACTGAGGCATAAGGCGCATGTGCACTCGCGGTCGCAGAGGACAAGAGCAGTGTTGGCGGTCGGTGCGAGCATCTTGACAGGCAGATCGAGCGCTGGAACTGGAGGGAGACGAGGGGTGTGCAGGAGCTGTATAAAGAGCCAGAGGACCAGCTGATACCGGGGAGCCGGTGGATTTATAGCAAAGACTGGTCGGCATGCAGAAACCAGAGCCGGGCTGCGTCGCTTCATATTAAACCTAAAGCAAGCAGCATGCCGGCGTTACCCCAAACCAACAGCCCCTATTTACCTGTTTTCGACAGCATCGGCAACAACTGGCGTGATTTGCAAGCAGCAGCGCCACGCCGGATGTTGCGGGCCGTTCCCAAAAAGGCTAAATTAGCAACGCAACTCTATCTGGAGGCGTGCGGCGGGTTTTTCCGTTGGGCTGAGCTGCTTTGGGCACTGTGAATGACGAATGGTAACAAAAAGAGAAACAAAGGCGGTATCAAGGGGCTGGATAAACAGCTGCAGGCGGGTGCGTGTGTGCATGTGTGAGGTGGGACGCCCAGCAAACAAACGAGCCAACAAAGAACGGCTTACAGCACAGCCCAGCCCCAAGCAAAAAAAAAGAAAGGTGGTTGTGGAGAGCAGGCAAAAAGATCGCTCTCGGATAGGCTCGAACTATCAACCTCCTGATTAACAGTCAGACGCGCTAACCAGTTGCGCCACGAAAGCAGACCTGGCACCAAAGCCAATCTCTGATATTTCGGAAAAACAATATATCTATAAAGGAATTAGTAGCTGCCACACAACTTACCGCTGTTTATCACGTTCTACATAGCTCCTGACTAGAGTATAAATATACCGCCTGGCAACACAGGCACGTGTATGTGGATTGACCAACACCAGCTATCATTTGTGTCACTGACGCAAAGAGAGTACATGTTAGACCATGATCTAGTGCTGTGGTCTGCGTATTCTGTTGTGATTTCATTAGCCTTATGTGCTCCAGCATATTCCAATACTTCTTATCTAATGTTGTTGCAACTTTTATTGCATATGCTTTTGTTCCTATCCTACCACTATTTGGCCATTTCTCCTTATTGATGCCTGCTGCATCCTCTACACAGACTACATGCGCACTAATTCTTGCGAGTATACGAGACAGGACGAGCCGTTAACCCCTCACCATGGGTTATGCTGAACAGCCTCGCCCCTTGGCTCTGCTCCACCTCACAATAGGTGCGTACCACGGTCCCAGATTGGCAATTCCACGGCGGATATTTGAGATGCTCATAGGCTGAAGTCAGCAGCACCTGCGCTTCACTCGCCATAGCTGCGCGCTCTTCGTTGCCTGCAGTCCAAATACCATGGCCATTTCCAGCCGATTATCGATTGTTGAGAAAAGAAATGTATTGTGCAAAGAGATGGCTATAAACAGATGGGTTTTGGTAGCCAAAGGCGCCAATCGGCGTACAGCAGGCTTGGTTCTGGGTGGTCAGAGGATGACGGAAGCCAGGGTTCCCTTGACATCTCAGCACTTTTCGCCGATGCTGCACAGGCTGCACGAGCACTCGCGGTCGCAGGTGTGGAGGACAAAGGACGGCAGCGAATTCATCGTTTTCAGTGGATTTTGAGTTGGGAGACGAGTGCAGAGGGTGTGAGGTGGTGAGATGCAGGAGAGAGGAGTTGCCTGGGCACCAATTCGGTCGGCTTTTATACGCAACAGATCGGCGGCGACCGGCTGCGGTTCCTGACTGTGAGAGCCCGGCAGAACCCCCAAACATGCCGCTCACAGTGGTGAGGTCTTCAGATTTATTTACTGAATCCAGGAGGTTCATATTAGTCCTCCATTATCTGTGTTTCAAATCCTTAGGCTCAGCAGCATTCACCCAAGGACACCCCCGTTCTGGAGACAGAGAATTCTTTATACAATTGCTTGCTACATGTTTGGGTAAAGTAAACTCCCCCAGCAAAACGGCAGCAGCACGCCGCCACCGCCCGCTCCAAAAGGATAAATCGAAGAGCCGCACATTGTCTGCACAAGACACCCCCAGCCCTACACCTGCCCGTAGCCGCCATAGTGGCCGCCGGTGTGCATTTTATATTGCCAAAGGGAGAAAATTCATGTATGCAGCACCGCGAGTTCGCGATTGGCAGGCCAGACTCTGGTAACTGCGTATTCCATGTTGGGAGCAGCCACTGCTGCTCACTTTGAAACCTGCAGGAGCTGCGCCGAGGTAAGCTGGAGCTGGCGGGCGCACTCCAGCAGATTATGTATCTGGTTCGACTTGTCCACGGCCTTGGCGTATAGGCGGTCGCGCTCCTCTTGCAGTTTGCTCCGCTGGTCGGCCGAATCGCTGCTGTCGAGCTGGGGACCAGAAGTATCGGGATCAAGGGCAACAGCAAGCTCGCGTGCCCGCTGCCACGATGCCTTGTATTGGGCCCGGGCATCCTCCAGCCCCTTCAGCAGCTCTGCTGTCTCGCTACAGCCGATGCGTTCTTCATTGATGTAGGCATGTATGTGATGGGGTAGTACGTCTGTGAGTGTGAGCCCCACCCAAAGAATTTTTGCACAACTAGCATGTTGACGAGCCCTAGCTGGGTCTGGCAATTAAATACAGGTCCTCCAGAAACCAAAAAGTAGTAGCATTTAATACCAATCCCGCAAAAGGTGCCTACCGCTTATTCCTTCTGCTTTGGCCTTACACCGGCAGTCTTCTCCATCCGTGTCTTGAGCTGGTTCCGCTGCTCGATAGCAAACGTGATCTTGCTGCGTGACTCGTCGACCCTATGCAGAAACTCGTCGCTGCGCGCCAGCGACTCATACACCAGCTGCAAAAGCTGGTCACGCGCGCGCACGTCTTCCATATTGTAGTTATCGATCAGCTCCAGGTGCGCGGTCTCCGGGTCGTCGCCCAGCAAGATATTCAGGAAGCGCCGAATATGCTGGTTGTACTCGTTCTCCGTCGTCATCGTCTCCATCAGGTCCCACGCCATAATCTCCATCAGGTTGCTGCTCAGCGTCTTTTGCACGTACGGCCGCTGCAGGGCATCTGCAACTGTGTCGAGCGGCCGGGTCGCCTCCTCAATGATTTTCTCTGTGTCTTTTGGCAGTGGTGGGTGCGGAGCGTCTAGGGATGTCCAGCAGGGTGAATTAGTACTATGTTGAATGCCGGCGAAGGTCAACCTGCAATTTTGGCCGTGGTAGCGGTGAAGCAACTTACCTGAACGCCATATCCGCGGCCTCTCGTTCAGAGCTGACTTTTCTTCTGCTGGCTCAGGCTTGGTTTCGCCATTAACGGGTTTTGTTTTGCTTGCAATGTCTGCATTCGTGGAGACGGCAGCAGCAGTTGCTGGTGCAGCGACTGCTGGCGTGGTTGCTGCAGCGATAATGGGGGTGTCTGAGGCTGCAGTCGTCACCGGTGCTGCAGCTGTTTGTGTAGACTGGAGCGTACTCATTGGCGATGGCAGGGAAGGTAAATGAAAGCGCAAATTGTCAGAGTTCTATAAAAAAAAAATCGCGAATCACATAAATGCTGCAGTCCATCCTCATCAATCCGCAAAGCGCACTTGTGGTTCATCCATTCAAGCTTGGAAACATCGTCGATTTATTGCACCCGGCTGAATGGCCCAAGCAATACAAAACAAGAGAAAAGAAAAGAACTTCTGCCAGGATTGAACTGGCCAAGCCCGCCGTAAAGGCAGGCGTGAGATCCCAAGCGCTCACAAAGAAGTCCACGTAATATGGATGGAAGGCGTTGGCGGACATGTGTGCTCTAGCAATAGACGCAACACTATGTCGCAAAAAGGCGGAGAATGAGCTGGGACCTGCGAGAGAGCAAACGTGAGCAGTGCAAAAGCACGTACAACGGAGAGCCTCCTTCCGCTAGAGCTTGAGCCCGCCGCCAATCATCATGCCTTTCAAGGCATGCTGGCTGGTAGGGTAGAACTCAAGCTCAACCGGTTCGTCGTCCTCGACGTCGCCAAACACAAAGCCATTGTCACTCGAGGTCTCGAGCTCGTCCAGATTGCTCACACAGCGACACGTAAAGAACACGATCCGCTTCATGCGCTTGTTGAAGAAGAAGTAGTTGAACGACCACACCGGCCCGTCCTCCTCGTACGGGTCCGACTCAGCATCGGGTGTGTACGTGTAAATGTCGCACTCGTCGATGTTGATGGTGTTGTCGATGACATCCCACATGCGGCTGGTGCGCAGGCCAGCGGGGCAGCCGACGTTGATCAAGGTCGTGTTGATTGACTTGATCGTGTCGCCAGTCGATGGCTCCTTGACGAACTGGTCCGCGCTCAGCGAGCTACAGTTTGAAAACGCATGGTGGTATGGGTGGAGTTAGCAAGCATCTTGGCGAACGCGGGAGTGTAGCTGAATGAGGAGGAGAGTACCAGTTAGCACTGTTAGCTCACGGTACCAGCTCTGGGAGAATGTCCATTCCCCTCCCCCAAAAAGGCCAGTGGACGATCAGGGCTGGACCGCTCATCCTCGATCCGGAACCACGCCTCTCCCCAACAAAAGCCGCACAGGGTCTAGACTGCGCAGGCAAAGCGGCAGACATAAAGGAAACACACTGCTACGGTACCTAAAGTCGTAATCAGGGAAGCTGGCGTTAAGCGTGCCAATGAGATAGAACAGCGTCTTCCTCGATGCCGATTGTGTCAGCGGGCCGAACGGCGAAATAATGTTAGTCAACGAGCTCTGCTCTGGCGAGAGGCTCTTGGCCTCCTCAAGGTCTTCCTGGTACTTGTTTTCCAAGTACTTGTACAGCTTCTTGTCGGTTCCTGCAGCCTTGCCTACAGACAATGTGTGGGAAGCGGGTTGCGGTGGTGTGCTCACGTGGCGGAGTAGGATGTTAGTACGTACAAGGGATTGAGACGCGTGCAGGTGTCAAGGGCAGGAAGCAGAGTGTCTTTCTAATACACCCTCCTTCCAAAGGCACCAGCCCGCCCAAGACTTTTGGAGCACCTACATGAGTATGCCTCAACTCTGCCGACCACATGCCGGTCGCCGCTGGTTGTTGGGAACGACAAGAGCGAGTTGATGTTTCTGAACGACTCGACGTCAAGGTACTTCATTTGCAAATAATAATAGCAAGTTGGCAAATTGGGAATAAAAGTCAAGAGAAAGTGGGGGGTAGTAGCTTCTCAAGTAGAGAAAAAGAGAGATAGTTTGGCAGTAAGTGGAGTTAAGGTGTAATTTTAAAACGTGCGCAGAACAGGGGGATGTGAGCTTTGCGATTTGTGTGTGAATGGTCACCTGTTTGCGGCGGCAGCCAATGGTATGACGAGAGAGGCCTTGCACCGTGCAGCTACCGCCACTGTCAGTGCAAAATCGGTGCACATGCGCAGCACCCTCAGACACTATACGCTGGAGCTGGTAATATGGCGGGATATTGTCGAGGTTGGCGGGTTATAGGCGGTGACTGCGAAACAAGGCAAAAACGTGTGCTGCTTCTGTGGATTAACCGCCCTCTCTATTTGTAGCCAAAGCAAGTGAGGGGGTCACTTGAGCAAAAAAGTTGCATGCCACCGTCCACGGGAACGAGCCGAGCCGAGCCGAACCATCTGGGGCAGCGAGCTGGTTTCCCTGTGCTCACTGATCTGAGTTCGATATCTGGCAGAGTGGATTCTCCACTTGTCAATCCAACACGCGATCTGCTGTCAGCTGCTGGCTTCGAAAGAATCCCCTCCGCCTCCTGCGCGACAGCATCAATACTGGTATGAGGCAAGCTAGATTTTGACCACATCATTGCCGATTTCCTTGCTGACCACGCGTTCGTCGACAATCTGATTTCCACTAGCCGCAAGAACCTGGCCGAGAACTACGCACTGACTACAGAGTTCTTTGATAAGCAGTGTGGAGTATGTGCCGTGCTCGGCAGGTCACTATATTTGGTTCAAGCTGCCTATTGCTGCCAGCACAAAGGCACATCGTGCACTTGGCGCTCTACAGGCCACTGAAGTGGCCAAGCTGTGGACAAAGGAGACCGATCTCACGGCATGGGAACACATCGTCCTAAACGAGCGCGTGTACTTCCCTACCGGGCAAGCATTCTGCTCGACTGAGCCTGGATGGTTCCGATTCACGTTCGCCATCACCAAAGAGCAACTTGTTCTTGCTCTTGATCGCATTGGCAACTCGTTCAAGCTGGACTAGGCCTGTATCTCCATAAATGGCTTGATACCGTACCATTCAATCCATGGTGAATATCATCTAGTGTATCTGAATGTACAAAGTTGCCAAGCAGTGCTCCCAGGTTTGCCTTGGGCTGTAAACCAAAGCAATGTCTGACTTTGTAACTTTGGCAATGGGCACAAGGACCCAGTAATATACACATACAATTACCAGATTGCGACAGTAGCCATGCTCTCAGGCGATGAAGGAGAATGTGCTGCCTCCGCTAATCGTGGGATTTGTATATCATCTGCGCTCAACAGTGACAGCCGTTCACATAATGCTTGTCGTATTCTTTGTCATCACTACAAATTACTAATATTTTTAGTAGTTGCCAAGACCACTGCGTGCAGAAACTCGTGTAGAAAGCATTAAAGCGCAAACCTGTGCTGCAATGGCTTGCTTGGCCAGTGTGCATTTTTAGAAACCTACCATGAAACTCCGGTTGTCGGCATACAGCTACACGATGGGAGCATCTGCAGTCCCCAGAAGTATTTGTGGAAACCTAGCATTTCTTTGCAGTTTCTTTCTGAGAGCCCGTGCCCAGTATTTCTTGGTCTGCATAAGCAAGTTTTCTAGGGACCTATCGGCCACGCATAGCGCCGATCGGCGTGCCTTTTGATATGCTAATGGCATTTTGTCCGCGTCGTCTGAAAGATGAGGTTTACTGGGGCCACTAAAATTAGAACACTAGTGAGAACAAACCCTAGATGCGTTCAGCGCATGACAGGGGGTCTCCTTGAAGTCGTTTTATCGGTGTATAAAAGCCCGGCGCTGCTGTTGCATTCCATATTCCACATCATCATCACCATCAACAGCACCACCTGCTTCACCAAGCAACACACTTCACACCTACTTTTGCATCTGCATCCCCACCAACAACAGCTCCGATACAATGCGTGTTACTCTTGCTGCCTCCCTCGCCTTCTTCGCCGCTACTGCCGCCGCCAACCGAGCAATCCCCGTTGGTGACGCAGATTTTGTGGATGCTTCCTACGACCATGCCATGGGCTTGGGTAGAGTTCCCTACGATTCCTTTGTCGATCTTGAGGGAAACACCAACCAGCGCGGTTCGAATGGCGCTACTCACAGGGGCACAGGGAGGAAGTCGGGTGTTGGCAGAGGTCGGATTGGCATCAGGCTGCCTTACCAGAGCCCGCCGTTCTTCCCCGACACTTTCGAGCTTCCTGGTCTCAGCAAGCGCAGCGACGATTACGATTACGAGCATGACAACGAATACTACGTAGATTCCTACAACCAGCGTGGCGGATTCGGTAGAGGTATTGGCCGTGGGCTCGGCAGAATTGGTGATGCAGTAAGCCCAGGTGACATTGCCTCGATTCTCGACATGTTTGTAAAGAGAACCAATGACGGCAACCAACGCGTCAGCTCTAAGAAGAGTTTAGGCAAGGTCAGATCCAACCCTAAGCGCCCTAAGACCATTCGTATTAAGCCAACGAACCCTGGTCCCTTCCCATCTATTTTCATTGCCTGATGATGCGTGGTCATGCAGTATAGAGCATAGCATATTTTTAACATACTTGTGAACATTCTTAGAGCACATAAATTATGTAGCCTTTATAAACAACTTAGACATATTAGGGCTGTATTCTCATACTATGCAACATCGCATTTTGTTAAACTGCCATATACCTGCTGGTATGCACGAATCATTGTTCTCCCAAGAGCCAGACCAAGGCAGAAAGGCTCTGGCATGCGGATGTGCGGACCTCCGCTGCTGCAAGCATGAATGTCACCACACACAGTGGTAGCATTAGTTGGGCCGAGACACCAGGCTGTTTGAAGCTGATGTTGCTCTCCCAGACAAAAATCCTGATCACCATTGTCGCTGGACGCGGTCTCCAAAAGAACCCCCCACCTGCCACACTAGGCACCTGTCAGCGGAATCCGCCTGCCAATCCAGCACACGACCTGTTGTCAGCTTAACTGCCGGCTTCGAAATAATCTTCTCCACTTTCCATGCGACAGCATCAATACTGGTATGAGGCCAGCTAGATTCTGGCCTCTGTATTAATAATGGGAATGGCTGGAAAGTGCATCGTCCATTCGGCATCAGGATTATCTTGACAAGAAAAAAGACAAGATCGACTTGTCTCTCCAAGCTTCAGTGCTACTAAGGAAACGCATGTGTGGCGAGAGGAGAATGTCTCTATCGAAAAGCAGCAGCAGGCCCAAGCAACCACTTGCATAGTGGGGCTGGTGGAGTAGGGGATGAAGGAGATTGGCTAGATGCAAATCGTCCAAGCTTTAACCTTGCCTGTATTGCAGCGGCGGCAGCCGAATTGCCAATAGAGGGAGGTCTCGGCATACCCAATGTTTGTATCGTGAGCGCAGCAGACAGGTCACTCTCCCTCTGGGGATGTCCACCTGCAGATGATACATACTGAGAGAAATGCATGTAAATCATGTGTGTTCTGAGGACTGCTCTGAGCATCAAATGCCACTAGGACGGTGAGAATTCTCTATCTGCGAGAAACTGCACCGTTCTATGCAGTTGAGTCCCTCGGCTGCCCGAGCAACGGGCAATTTTTGTGCCTCGGTCTGTATTTCACCACCCAAATCCCCAACTCGCCTTCCTGACACATGCAGCTGCCCACCCCCATTCTCCAAATACATAGCTGGGTTTCTGTCACATATAAAGCCGAGTGCACGCACCCCCATCAGAAACTGCAGGCTCACCTCAGCAACAAGCTAAAGCAGATTCATTCTCTCTTCTTACCTAATAATTCATAAGCCCCTTCAGCCCTGCCTAATTCCTCGCTGGTAGCATCCTTCACTTCGTCAATGCTATTCAAGTACAGCATCCTGGCACTGCTCGTCCAAGCCATCACTGTCCGAGCACACAGTGAGCTGGGCAAGCGCGGCAATACTGCCTCTTGCCCCGGCTACAAGATCGTCTCCAAGCAAGATACGGCTAGCGGGTTCTCAGCCATGCTCAAGCTTGCCGGCAAACCTTGCAATGCCTATGGCAATGACGTTAGCGACCTGAAGCTCAACGTCGATTTTGACAGCCAGGACCGACTGCATGTGCATGTGCAAGATTCAACCGGCAAACAGTACCAGATCCCAGCATCGGTGCTGAAGCTGGATGCGAGCAAACAGACAAACAAGAGCAAGGCGAGCCTCAAGTTCAACTACTTCCAGGACGCCAAGCATGGCTTCGGCTTCAAGGTGTCGCGCGGCAAGGACACAGTTTTCGACACCACCGGTCACCCGCTGATCTTCGAGGACCAGTACATTGAAGTGACATCGAACCTGCCCAGCAATGCCAACATCTACGGCATTGGCGAGACACCCGACTGGTTCCGGCGTGATACCGCCAACACAATCAAGACACTGTGGAACCGCGATGCAGCGGATCCGTTCCAGGAGAATGTCTACGGCTCGCATTCGATCCACATGGAGCTGCGCAATGGCAACTTCCACGGCGCCTACCTGCACAACTCGCACGGCATGGACATTGTGCTCGCCAACAACACAATCCAGTACCGCGTGCTGGGCGGCACCGCCGACTTTTACTTCTTCAACGGACCGACGGCGCTCGATGTCATCGACCAGTACACGGAGCTGGTTGGCCGTCCAAACCGCATCCCGTACTGGGCACTGGGATTCCAGAACTGCCGGTATGGCTACAAGAGCGTCTATGAGGTCAACGACGTGATTGCCAACTATTCCAAGGCCGAGATCCCATTGGAGGTGGCCTGGACCGACATCGACTACATGGACCGCACGCGCGACTTCACCTTCGACCCAGTCAACTTCCCACTCAGCGAGATGCAGAAGCAGCTCGAGTACCTGCACGCGCACAATCAGAAGATGGTGCTTATGACCGACCCAGCCATCCAGCGCAACTCTTCTTACGGCCCGTATGCGCGTGGCCTTGAGCAGGACGTGTTTGTCAAGAATTCCGACGGCAGCGTGTTTGTAGGCCAGGTATGGCCCGGGTACACGGCATTTCCGGACTGGTTCGCGCCCAACGCCGACAAGTGGTGGAGTGGCGAGCTGAAGCGCTACTTTGATGCGCTGCCAATTGATGGCATGTGGATTGACATGAACGAGGCTGCCAGCTTCTGCACTGGCAGCTGTGGCTCAGGAATCCCTGAAGATGTTGTGCCGCCATTGCCCTGGAATGCCGACCCGCCACCGGTCTACCGGCCGCTCAACATAAGCAACCCGATGCTGGTACCACCGTATGCTATCCACAATCCGTGGGTGGAGCTCTCCAACAAGACCATCGAGACCACAGCCCTGCATGCCAATGGCGTCCTGGACTACCACGTGCACAACATCTACGGACTGATGATGTCTATTGCCACGCACAAGTTCCTGACAACTTACAGGCCAAACACGCGGCCGTTCCTGCTCTCGCGCTCCACGTTTGCCGGCTCCGGCGCCCTGGTCAGCCACTGGACCGGCGACAACGAGTCGTCGTTCAAGGACCTGCATGTGTCAATTGCATCGATGCTGGATTTTGGTATTTTTGGCATCCCGATGGTGGGTGCCGATATCTGCGGTTTCAACGGCAATACAACCGAGGAGCTGTGCGCACGCTGGATTGAGGTCGGTGCCTTCTATCCGTTCTCGCGTGACCACAATGTCATTGGCGCCACCCCGCAGGAGCTCTACCGCTGGGAGTCTGTGGCGGAGGCCAGCCGCCGTGCCCTCGCTGTTCGCTATGCTCTGCTGCCATACTTCTACACCAACTACCAACATGCTGTCGAGAATGGCTGGCCAGTTGCCCGCCCGCTCGTGTTCCAGTACCCCGAGATTGCAGCCACCTCTGCAATTGACAAGCAGTTCCTGATCGGTGATGGGCTCCTGATCTCACCGGTGCTGACTCAAGGTGCAGTCACTGTCGATGCATTCTTCCCCAAGGGCGTCTGGTACGACTGGTACACATACAAGGCAGTCAAGGGCGAGAGCAAGGAAATCACATTAGATGCCCCGCTGGAGCACGTCAACGTGCATGTCCGTGGTGGTGCGATTCTGCCGGCCCAGGTCCCCGCTATGACGACCACCGACTCGCGCAAGAACAACTATTATCTTGTCGTCGCCGTAGATGAGCGTGGTCATGCTGAGGGAAAGTTGTACCTGGATGATGGCGAGACCTTCGATACTCCACATCGCTGGATCTCGCTGGAGTACAAGAACGGTAGGCTGTCGGTCTCCCAGGACAGTGGCAACTACAGAGTGGCCCCCAGGCTCACCAAAGTTGTATTGCTTGGCGTCGATAATGTCAAGACAGTCAGGGTTAGCGGTGCATCGCAGAGCGCAGCCAAGATCTTGTCAGAGAACGGCAGCACCACAGTGGAGGGTCTCAGCATTGATCTGAACCGCAGCTCAAGCATCTCGTTCAAGTAGCATACTGCAGGCCGAGTGTTTCAGTGGATGAGGTTTATAATAGAGATATTGGTTGCTGGGAAAAATGCACATGTGGTTTCTACTTGCGGTGCCGCCTGTCGTTGCGGTGTCGCTGATCAGCCCCGCGTCCGCCGCGCCGGGGAGGTGGGCCGCGCTGGTTGTCGCTGCGACCGTCATTTTGCTGGTTGTCGCGTCGTGCCTGCTGCGGCTGCGACTGCGGCTGCTGGCGACCGTTATAGTCAGGCGATGCGCGGCGGCTGCCACGGTTATCGGCTCTGCCATCGCTGCCTCTGCTGTCATTTCCACGGCTGTCATTTCCACGGCTGTCATTGCCGCGATTGTCATTGCCGTGGTTGCGGCGGCGGTGGCGATCCGGTACCTGCTGCTGTTGCTGCTGCTGCTGCTGGCGCTGGTCCTGGCGCTGCTGTTGGCGCTGCTGCTGCCTGGGCTCTGGTTTCGGCTCTTGCTTCTTCTGCTCGGGGCCGAGTCTGCTAGCCACACCGCGGTCATCCTTGCGGCGATTATTCTGGTGCCTGGGCGACTCATACTCCCGGGGCTTCTCGGGCTCACGCCCCCTGGAGCTATTGCGGCTGCCACGACCCTGCCTTGGCGCGCGCTCCTTCTCGTGCTGGCGCTGGTTTTGTTGCTGGCGCACCAGCGCACGCAGCTCCTGCTTCCGCTGCTCTGTCTTCTGCCCAACCGACTCGGCTGCCGGTGACTCACCAGATGGCTCGTCCTTGCGCTCAGTTTTTGGCGACTCGCGCATGCGCTTGGCCGGCACGGCCTCCTGGGCCCGATCGGGCGTGTCGTGCCTACGTTTGGCGCCGTGCTCAGGCGTGTCACGCATGCGCTTGGCTGGCACGGCCTCCTGGGCCCGATCTGGTGTGTCCCGCCTGCGCTTGACACCATGCTCGGGCGGTGCGCGTTTCGCGTCCTGCTGGGGCTCTGCGGGGCGATCCGCACGCGAGCGTTTCACATCCGGCACATTGTCGGTGGGCGGGTCGCGTGCGCGTTTCGCAGGCGGTTCCGGGTTGGGCTCATTTTGGCGACGGGCCACGGATTCGTTTTTGGCCTCAGCTGGCTTTCGGTCGGTGCGGCGCC